GCCATGCCCTGACTAGATCAGCCCAGAGTTTGTTTCAGGGTTCTATCCATGAGTTAGCCGTGCCCTGACTAGATCAGCCAAGAGGTTGTTTCAGGGTTCAATAAATTTGTAAGTTTTCCCCTACCTTCAATAGCAGTTATATTCAGGTTGGGCAAAGGTGCCGTCCCGTTCTTATAAAGTTCCCTAGCCTCTTCCAGTGCTTTCGTAGATCTTTTATGAGCTTCAGTACCATTGTACTCGGCTGCAACTTGGAGCGATTCTACCTCGGCTATTCTGTCATAAAGGTCTTCAATGTCTTCTGAAGTTTTGTTCTGCGCGTCCAAAGCCTTGTCTACTACTTTGACGACTTCTTCAGACGCATTTACGGCTTGGACGGACTTGGTGGTGATCTCGTCTGCGTGCGCTTCGTGTTTGTCTGCAAGTTTAGTAGTCTGAAAGAAAAAAAATGATTCCAATATATGTGGCTTTGATTGATTCTAGTTTACAGTAGAATTAAAACAGCTTTTGTATGACACACGGAGAAAACACTCAGCATCAACTGATGAAATTCAATATGGCGGCTCTTCCAGCAACATCTTGACGCCTTGATATCGAAGGTTTGAAGGAAAACGCCTGACGTCGAACTGCAATTTGAGGTTTGCGGTACCTAGCAAGAAAGTCGTGCCAAAGCCGTCTCAAATATCAACTTAAGAGAGAATGCTTTTCGTATTCAAGCAGTGAGCGCCAAAAAACTATTTTCTTGAAGAAGGCTGTTGCTGTCTAGTTTTTGGCGCTTTTTGCCATTATTGCACATTATTAAAAAATATTTCCTCTTAATTGAAAAAAAAATTTTAAACTTTACCTCTTTGACGATTTCAATCATGCGTTTTTCCTGTTCCCCAGTAGCGTTAGCATTCTTAATAGACTCATTCAACGCTTTTGTTCCTTGTTCCATCAACATCTTGTTAATCATATCCAAGAGATGTCGAGAGACATTCAACGAGGACTCAGCCACACTCACATTCCCTGCCCCTTGTTCCGCCAACACGTAAGCCCTAGTAGTGTTGGACCACACGTCAATCAACTTTTTCCTGACCTYCTCAACTCGAGTATCAAGTTGTGCGATTTGTTTGACAAGGACTCTATCTGTAGCGTTGGTTTTCTCGGCCTGCTTGATTAGCTTGGTGGCGCGCTCTGTGAGTTCCTTGAGACGGTTTTCGAAGTCAATATCGATGACCACTTTAGAAGAGGAGTTGAAGCGATCGATGATGTAGATGAGCTCGTGGAGCTTTCGTCTCAAGCCGTGGACGAGTTTTTGAATGACGTCGTAACATGGTGGACAAGCTGCAAAGGAAAAATAAGTTTAATGTTTCATTCTACCGATTATCGTGATGGTAATAACGATGGTGGTGGTGATGATGAAGATGATAATGAAGATGATAATGATTATAATACTTGATGATACATGATGATGATGATAATGATTGATACTTAATAATGATACATGATAATGATGATGATGAATATAATGATTATAATACTTGATGATACATGATGATGTTGGTAATGTTTATGATACTTGATGATGATAATGATGATGATGATAATGATAGTGATACTTGATGATGATACATGATGATGATAATGATTATGATACTTGATGATGATAATGATTATGATACTTGATGATGATACATGATGATGATCGTGATGGTAATAACGATGGTGGTGGTGATGATAATGATGATGATGAATATAATGATTATAATACTTGATGATACATGATGATGTTGGTAATGTTTATGATACTTGATGATGATAATGATGATGATGATAATGATAGTGATACTTGATGATGGTACATGATGATGATAATGATTATGATACATGATGATGATAATGATTATGAATGTAATGATGAAGATGATGGTGATGGGGCTGTTGATGTTGATGATGAAGGAAGTGATGATGATAATGACAATGGTGATTACTTTGTCACTTCCATTACATATATATTCGCCACTACAACGTCTTACCATATATAGTACTATCAATGCAAAGGCTTGATCGCCAGGTATTACTTACAAATACATCCAGCAGTAAGGTTATGGTAGTTCTCTCGACATGTATCACACTTGATGCCGAGGACACCTGGACGACAGTCACAGACACCTTGTTCATTACACGACACGTTCAAAGATCCTTCCTGGTTGCAGTTACACGCTGTAAGACAGAATGAATGGGATCAAATCTTTCTCTCCTTTTATTTCACTTCCATTCTCCTTTTCCTTCCTATTCCTTCCTCTCGTCTTTTTTTCTTTCTTTTACTTCATTTTCCTTTCCTTTCCCTTTCCCTTTAATTCCATTTATGTTCTCTCCTTCCTTTATTCTTTCTCTCATTTCCTTTTCTTTTAGATGATCAGATCATTTCTTGTATTTTGGTCTATTGACCAAGACTAGCCATGCCTAAGGTTTGTTTTTGCTGAATGTAGAACTTTTCTTAAGTTTGTACTACAATAATTTTTCCTGAAAACCTTGACCAATTTTCGTGTTTAATGCGAAGTTTTCAAGAAGCCATAAGCCTTTTATGAGTTCGATAAGCAGGATGTATTCTGGTCTAGCTTGGGTATGAACAACACCATATAAGATGAACGAAAGATGTTTGTACCCAAGCTAGACCACAATGCATCATGTTTGCTATCTCAGAAAAGGTCTATCTTTGTTTCTTTGGACCAATTCTTACTGGTGCCCATAATACAGCTTGGACTGGTTAGATGGCAGAACAATAAAATCCCTTTGCTCTTGAGAATTGAATTATTTCTCATGTAAAACGATAGTATTGTTCCTGCCATCTAACATGGCTGCTGTCACGCGATGGTGCAAAATTTCTATCCAGCTGAATGACTTCAATTTGCGCATAATAATCATTAATTATAATAAAAAAACTTTAATATAATACGTACCTAAGCAACCAAATTGCGAAAAAGAGTAATGATCCACTTGACACATTTCGCACCGTCTTCCCGTCACTCCAGGTTTACAATGACACTGACCAGTCTTGACGTCACACGTATTGTTCCACGAGCCAATCACATCACAGTTACACTGCTCACAACCCCGACCTGAGCCCACGTTCCAGTAATCTGGTATACAGTTGTCACACTTGTCGCCGATGACGTTGGGTAAGCACGTACAGCGGCCTTGGCTGTCGCATGGGAAGGGGAGGCCTGGGTCGTGTCCGGGGGATGCGACTGTTCCTTGTGCGTAGCATTCACAGGCTGATTGGTAACAATGACACGAGATGTTCGTTTAGTTACTTTGACAAATAAACTCTCATTCATTCATTCATTCATTTCTTAGTATTTATTGCTCTTTCTCTTCTATTTCGCTCACCTACACACTGTGGCTTAGGATATTCCTTGGCGTTACCATAGTAACCAACAGCACACAGCTCGCACTGATTCTTGGGTCCATTCCTCGTGTTGTAGATACACTTGAGGCACGCCCCGCTTTGTGAATCGCACGAGCCAATGGCATTAGAATCGATATTACCGCTACAGTTACACTTCTGGCAGAGGGTGGGAGTGCCTTTCAGGCCCATTGGGTCGCCATAATAACCATCTTGACACCTAGGAAAACAATGACGTATTTTTAGGGGGTTTACGGACATTTTTCTTAAGTTTAGCAGATATTTCTCCGGGATGGTACCATAGAGGACTGTGCTAAGCCGGGTATACGGTATTTATCCCGAAAATGCCGTGCGCGTAAGAAGATCCCGGGTGGAAATCGTATACCTCTGTACTCTACCGGGTGGAGCACAATGTTCCGAGTATATAGGTGAATATCCCGTATACCCCTGTACCCTGCTGTACCCTGCGGGGTGGGGCACATTAAACCGTAGATGGCGTAAGAATGTCTCTGGTTGACATCGTATACCCCTGCACCATATCACCTACCTGTCGCACAGGTTTCCCCGGTGACCGGGAGGGCAGTCCGTACACACAACGCTTGCTCCTATCTGAATACAACGAGTACCAAACTTGCACGGACACGGCTTACAATCATTAGGGGTACCCTGCGTGGGGTTACCATAGAAACCATCCTGGCATTTATCGCATTTGATGCCTGTAGTGTTGTGTTTGCAGTAGCATTTGCCGGTCTCGGAATCACACGAGTCTGAATGTCCATAACACTGACACGGTACACATCTATGAAAGAGTAACAACGAAATGAGTTGGAAGGACGAATGTTTCATCGCTAAAAGTTGGCTTGGTGAGGCACTCTTTATCTTGGACGTTATGCTTTCCCATGCAATTCAGACCACGTGTCATTCTCTTGAGAATAAGATTCTTCGATTGAGTAATATCCACACTCTTGTGTCTTTTAGCTCATGCATGCGCAATCGTTAATGCGCAACCGTTTAACTTTGGCGTTATGTTTTTCTATGCATTTTACACCACGTGTCATTCTCTTGTATACATATTCTTGTGTCTTTAGTTCATGCAAAACCGTTAACTAAACAAATGATACTCGAAGGAATGACACGTGGTCTGAAATGGAAAAATATAACGCTCAAGGTAAAAAAGTCTATTCTTCGTTTGAACGTAATGTTTTCGCGGTCGTGTTGGTTCATGGTATTTAACAAACAGGTGATATTTAGCTTCCATTGTTTACACCATCAACATGGCCGCCACGACTTCGTATTTTTTTCTCTCTTGGGAATGATCTCAATCCATCAATATAGAGGTATTACACCACCACGTGCCGGCAGCCATATTAGATGGCAGAACAATATACAATCCTTTAAGTCTGAGGAATTTAACTCTTTCTCGTGTAAGACGATTGTATGGCGTTCCCGCCATCCAACATGGCTGCCGTCACGTGATCGTCCAAAAGCTCTACTCAAATACAAAGTAATTATAATAGACACTTACAGTCCATATTTATCGGCCACGCCTCCAACTCGCGTGAACCCTTCGTTACAGAACTCACAGTTATTCCCTCTGTACTGCGCAGGACAGCTGCACTGCTCGACCCAGGTCACCGGCCGCGCGGATGATGGGTCGTAATTTTCAGACTCAAAAAACACTTCGTCAAGCATACCAGTCCCCTGATCCGCGTAATTCATGCGAATCTTGACGTTCTTAAGGCTAGTTAGCAGTCTCTGGAAATCATAGCCGGTTAGACGCGGTTCCCATCCAAATGAAGGGTCTTCGTGGAGGCGATAGACGTAGTCTTGAAACGAGGTTGTGGGTAACGGGTTGCCTTGTGACGTCAGTTGGGTGGTTACTTTGAGGTTGTCTTCTCCTTCGAGTGTGATGTCGGCGAAATCAACCTGAGAAATTGAACAAAAATTAATTTAATTTCAGGAAAAAAAGCAGGATTAAGGAATTGGGTGCGATACTTTCCACGGTGGTTAAAAAAGAAAGAGAGGTTAGCTTTTTTTGTCGATTTAATTTCAGTTTTTTTCGAACCCTGAAACAACCTCTGGGCTGATCTAAGTCAGGGCACGGCTAACTAACAGATTGAACCCTGAAACAACCTCTGGGCTGATCTAAGTCAGGG